CACAGAATTTATCAATAATCACAATAATCAAGAGGATTGCAAGTTGGAAATAATTAAAATATAACTTTTTGCAAAGAGATTTAAAATAAACATATTATATATCACCTGAATTACCTCAAAATAATTTTTCCATCAACCTGAAATTGCTCCATGATCCTCCAAAAATAACTCTATTCTCTTACACAAAATTATTAACTCTCAAACTAAGTTTAAAATTTCTATCCTACACAATCTATAGGAGGAGAGAGCCGAATACAAAGAGGATGAAGAAACGGTAGAGGAAGAAGATGATATGGAGAAGTGAGCCTCACTGGCTCCACTTATAGAAAAATGAAGAAAGAGATAAGGATTAAGATAATGAAAAGAAAAAGAAAAGGAAAAGATGGAATGATATGGAATCCAAGAAGGAGTTTTCTTAAGTGTGCAAGTGCACACCATGTGCCACTTACACAAAAAGTGTAAGTGTAAGGTGTAAGTATAAGTATAAGGTGTAAGTGTAAGGTGTAAATGTAAGGTGTAAGGTGTAAGTGGGTTGCACATGGTGTGCAACCTCAAAAAAGGTGTAAGTGTAAGGTTTAATTTTTTACAAAAGGTGTAAGTGTAAGGTGTAAGTGTAAGGTATAAGGTGTAAGGTGTAAGTTGCACACCATAACCAAACCCTATATGGCAGAATTTGGATTTGGTCAAGTAATCTTATTATTACACCCTAAGAAAGATTTGAGCTAATAAAATATTAATGACTTTTTTAGTAGTAATATAATTGTACTAATAAATTAACATCCTACAATCTTGACTCTAAAAAAAAAAAATTCCTATAAGATATGTTTGGTTACCTTACTATTAGTAGGATTATAAGTGAAGGAAACATGTGGGGTTCATTGAATTGTTAGTTCGATATTTGATTGTGAGAAAATAATGAAGAAATTTGAGGGGTAGAAAATATAAGTCCCACACGATAGTCCAATCCCATGTTTGTTTTGCATTATACTAAGCTCCGAATAATTTTAGTGTTGATATGAAGGATTAAATAGAAGAAAAAAAAAATGAGAGATCAAGTATTACCATAAGTAGTGTAATATTAGAAGAATGAGTCTCTCTCTCTGAATTATTATTTTTCTTCCTCTAACGGTTAAAAATATTTATATCATTTTATTTCATTCTAATCAAATATAATATTTCACACTTTTTGTCCAATCATTTATTTCACTTATTATCCCTTGATGTAACTTATTTCTATAATCCTATCCATAATCATATCATAAATCTAATCGTGCATTCATTTAATTTGATCAAAAAATAATTTAGCAATGGCTCCATAACAAGAGAGAGACATGAGGCGAGATAGGTTATAACAAGCTTCCATAAAGAGAAAGATATGAGGCTAGACAAGGATTTGTTTAAAAATTGGCTTATTTAGTGAATTTTTATAAAAAGACATGTAAAAAAAATAGAAAGAATGATTTGATTATTTATAATGACTTTTTAACTTTAGATTATATTTGGATAAGAATTTGAAAAGTTAAATGAAAAATATAAATAAAATGTAAGTATACTTCATATAATTTTATTTTCTTTTTCATTTTATTTTTTTTAAATCCTTACACAAATTTATAATTTGAACGCCGTTTAAATGTTTGGTTGCCAAACATATGGCAATTATAATCTGCTCATGTGGAGCCTGCCACATGTTTTTTTTTTTTTAATTAAAAATAAAAAAAGAAGCTTTTTGGGGCATCATTACTTCTGCAAGCCTTGACCTCGGGATAACCGATTATCAGTCAAATTTAACTCAACTCATATTATTGAGCACAAAATTTCGAATATATTTATCGGACCAAATAAAAAGACCATTTGAGATATGAAACTTCAAAGGATAACAAGTAGTCATATGACATAAGTAAAAGATAGAGAAAAAAAAAAGAATATAAGATATTTTTTTATTAATTTTAATGTATTTTTATTAAAATTAATACCGAGGGTGATTGACTTATAATTTACAAAAAGTGAATTTGTGGATCAATCAGTCCCAACTTTATTTTAATGAACAAGGAAGTCTCATTAAACGGGAATTAACATATTTGCCCATGTAATTTACTTTGTAAGTGAATTTGTGACGACCGGACCCTTTCCTTCCTTTCCTTTTCTTCACTTTCTTCCTTCACTCCGTCCTCCCTTTTACCTTTGTTGGATTTGACCCATTTGGAAATGGTTCTCTAAAATAATAGTTCTTGTTTTGTTTTGTTTGGGGATTTAAAACTCTTTTGTTTCGGAGGGTGCGTGCCCAAGTTCGGAATGCCCGGGAGCGAAACGGGAAAATTTTGGGCTGGAAACCAAGGGTCGCACGTGCGGGGCCTTGGGCTGCATGTGCGGAATTCAGGGGAAATTTGAGCTCCATTCTGTCTAATATGCATGAGCGGAGAGAGGTGCGGAAGAGGAGCCCCGCACGTGCGAGGATGGAGGCCGCACGTGTGGAAGGGGCGCTCCGCACGTGCGGCAGCCTGGGCAGCCCGAAACCCTGTTTTTTCTTCTCTTTTGGTCCGAAAGTGTATCTCATTTTTGACATCTCTCTCTCACTGTAAGCTCTATTTTTCTCCTCCTTCTCTCTAAAAAACTTCCTCAAACACCAAAATACTTTGATTCTTGCAAATCTTGAGTCAAGATCATCATCATCTACCTCTAATCTTGAGATCAAGAACTAGGGCTTCACTTGGTGTGGTGGAAATCCAAGATCCTCTCATCCTTTGACTCTAGGGTTTCGTCCTTTCTTCATCAAACCTTGAGGTAGGGTTTCCTTTGAGTTATATATATATTTATGTAAGTTTTAAGGGGATTTTGCGGGTTTTCTTTGCTATTTCGAAAATGGGTTTGGTGGTTCTAGAAAGTTGATGATTTTAAAAAAAATAAACTCCATCTTGTATTCTTTTAAAGATCTTGGAATATGGAACAAAATGGGTTAGGATTAGCGAGTAGGGTGAGATTTTACAAGAGAGATGGAAATTTGTTTGGGTTTTGTGAAAAACCTAGAAATTGGGGATTTCTTAAATGAAGGGGGATGAAGCCTCATGTTGATATTAGATGGATGTATGTATATATATATATATATCGATACATGTTTATGGATGAATTGTTGTGAGCCATGATAAACGAAGAGAATATGAAATGTTAGATGTGTAAGAATGTCTATATATATATATATATATATGTATATATGTATAGCCCTTTTATTGATGAAGAAATTTCTTAACATACAAAAGAATTTGAGAGTAGAAGCTAGTATCTACATGTTGTTGTGGCTTAAATGAATTTAAATGTTGAATGAGCATGAATTGTGGTTATATTGTTACACATGGTCAAATGATGATAAATTCTTGACTATTGGTTGAAAGAACACGGAAACGAGGAATGAAATCGTTTGGCTATGTTGTTGGAATAACTTGAAAAATTGGAGAAATACCATGAGGCATAGAAAATTAGTTGCATTGCATACTCATTCGTTTTACTATCATGCATTGTGAATTTAGATTGAAGTTATTTACTTCATGAAAGAAAATGGTATTGTAATGAGAATAATGGAAATGTGTATGGGGTAAATACGTTGGTAAGTCCAGTTAGGGGGTGCAAATGATTTGATAAGTTGGCCTGAGTGTCCATGGTGAAAGACCAGAAAACCGCGCGGATAGGTGTCGAGCCTTCCGGTTAATATCAGTAAAAATGACAGTTTGGTAGTACTCGTAGAGTCTACTTGCAGAGACTAGCCTAGGGATTATCAGTGTCGTATTTACCGCCACTTATGATTTAAAACTGGAAGTTTGGGAATCAATGAGATTGTATTAAAGTGTTATTGATAAACATGGTGATTTTCAAGAAAAGCATGGCAAATGATTATATTTTTTTTTTTTGAAACGACATGGCATTTGCATTTGCATTTTAAAATTTGGACACCTTACATAAATGTATATACTTTGTTTAGGATTTCTCTACTGGGCTTTTGCTCACCACTATGGGATTTTGGTGCAGTTAAGGATGTGATAATTCCGCCGAGCTGAAGGCGTGGATATGTTTCGTGAAGAGTAGAACACTCTTTATTTTGTTGTAAATTTTGTAAGCCAAGGGCTAATGTGTATGGGTCCGAAAGACCATTTTGTGTAGCCAGGCTATTGCCTTGGAACTTGTAAGCTTTTGAGGGCCTTATTCGTTTTTGATTAATTGATTTGACATGCTATAGATTCATGTACTAGTTTGTCAATGAATGTATAATTGCATGTGAGATTACTTTTGTATAACATTTGGAATTTATGTAAAGGAACATGGTGAATGTATCTTTCGATATCCCTTGAGTCATGGTTAATATTTTATTTGGAAGTGAGTGGATGTATTAGATATGTTAGGATTATTTTGGGGCGTTACAACTTGGTATCAGAGCTACTGGGTTTGAATACTTGGGGCTCGCGAGAAGTGGTCGTAGTACCACAATGGGTTCATTTCGCATGATTAGGAAGTGTTTTGTTTATTTGTGATTGTGTGATAGCATGCTTATGTGACTATGTAGTTATGGGATTAGACTTTTGGGATGTTATTTGCCCCTATTAGATTCCTGAAAGTCTTATTAGAAGGGTACATGATCAATACTCCTTCTACTAAGAATTTTTGGTTTTTCATGGGACGAATCTCATCACTAAAGGATAATTCGTATGTGTTTATGTGACTAAGTGCTTATGTAGAGTGAATTAAATTATTTGTGTGGTAGGATACATGTAATTTCTTTAGTTTAACGTGTGAGGCAAGCTATGAGCACATTTGGGATGATGTGCTAAATTGTTTACTTTCATTCTCAATTAGGATGTCGGGAAGGATTCGAACACGAGATGGTAGGGGTGGAAGGCGAGGTCAAGGTCGCCAGAGTGTACATGAGATACTGGTCCATGAGGTCCCGGTACAAGAAGAAGGTCTAGGCCAAGCTGACATGGCCGAACATGGCCCGACAAGTGGGGCAAGCGGAGATGCCGGGGCAAGCTGGCCAAGCCACAATGGGGGCTCTAGCCCGGGAGATGGCGAGGGCATTAAGGGAGTCCATGAACATACTTAGGGCGGAGACCCAAGCTAGGGAGAATGTTGTTGAGACAAGGGCGAGCTTCTTCACGAGGGAGTTCTTGCGAGCCAAGCCGGACGAGTTCTATGGCGGCCCCGAGCCAAAGAAAGTGGGTGAGTGGTTAAAACAAATCGTGAAGACTTTTGAAATGCTCCATATAGAAGATAGCGAATTGAGGGTGACTCTTGCGAGTTACTACCTCAAAGGGGACGCGGGCCAATGTTGGAAATATGCCAAAGGCCGAATAGAGCCGGCTTGGGAGACGTTCGTGGTGGCCTTTCAAGACAAGTATCTACCTCCTACGGTTAGGGAGAGGTTGGGGCAGGAGTTTAAGGACCTTAAGCAACTCAATATGTCCATGGCCGAGTTTGAAGCAGCCTTTTCTATTTGTCCCGGTTTGGCACCGGAATTGGTAGCGACGGAAGAGCACCGTTACATCGAGTTCGAACAGAGATTGAGAACTAAGATTCTATTCAAGGTTGCCGGGAACATGATCCGAAATTATGATCGCCTTGTGGAGGCAGCCGCACGTGTGGAAATTATTGTGGAGCCCGAAGAGGAGAGACTTCAGAATTCGAGGTCTAGGGGCCAAGGGTCGCAAGGAGGATATAGGCCCAATAAGAAGAACATAAACACCTACCCATCCCAATCCCAGCCGCCGCAGTCTAGATCTACTTCCCCCTTGCCTAGTGTGGGCTCGAGAAAGGGTGCATCGAGTGGATTCTCTTGCTTCAAGTGTGGCCAACCGATCACAAGGCCTTTGCTTGTCCACAGAAGGGAGGAGAGCAGCAGATGTTGCAACCACCACTAACCGATCTCAGAGTCAGTCTCAGAGTAGGGGTCAAAGGCCTACTTGCTATTAGTGCGGTCCGTCAGGGCACATGAAGAGAGCTTGCTGGCAGTTGGGAGGGGTTTCTGGCGCATCAAGGTCTAGGCAGACTCAGAGCCACCAGCAGGCTCACTCAGCTCAGACTTCACGAGTTGCCAAGGAGCCATTTGGCTCAGTCAGTACAGCAGGCCAATGCTCTGAGGGATGAGCAGGTTGAGCAGAGGCCACAGGGGCGCGTGTATGCAGTTACTGCGCCAGAGTAGTTGCCAGGATCCTTGGTAGTGAGAGGTATTTTAATTGTGTGTAATTCTTTGGCTAGCTTGTTGATAGATATGGGTGCGTCTCATTCATTCATATCTGCTGCATACGCATCTGCATTAGGGCTAGAGGTAAACAATTAGCATCTCCCGCTCAGAGTAGAGTCTCCAGTTGGGGGTACAGTTGACCTAGATCGGGGTTGTCATGGTTGTGAGATAGAGGTTGCCGGCGTAAACTCCCGTTTGGTTTTGTGTTGCTAGATATGTCGAGTTTTGACGTCATCCTAGGCATGGATTGTTTGTTTTCGTATTGGGCAGTGATAGATTGTTTTCGTCAGAGGGTCACCGTGTGCACCACGGGGGTGATTGTTTTTACTTTTTAGGAGACCGGGTGTAATAACCTCACGCTATCCTCACCATACTTATATGCATTCATGAGATTCTGTCTTGTAAACTTGCATTTCGAGTCTTGTCCTTGTTCGTTTAAGTGTTACAACACGTTTTGAACCTTGCTTGGTGTGAGTTTAGCCGAGGTCGTCTTTAGTCTAGAACTTCCTTGGAACCACTTTGTTTGATCTCTAACTTCGCCTTGACATACTGGCCGAGATATCATTGTCTAGGCCG